TTTTCCACGACATTCTAATTTATTGAGATGCACCTGTACATACCAGTCCTGATGTTAAACCATTTTATTTTGGCCTTCCGTGTGTGATATTTGGATTCTAACCCAATGTCTTGTGTATTTTTTGTGCACTAGGCACAGTTGTCTAGCTGTTGAGTTTTGCAGGTTAGCGGTTAAGATCCGGTGTTGCAGTGCTGAGTGCTTGGCTGTTTCCGGTTTTCTCCAGATTGCAGCTGGTGCAGGCCGAGGTCAAGCAGCATCTGCAAATACATTTTTGGTGGCATAAACGCTACCATCTGACGAAGTTCTCTTATTTTGTTCCGCAGTTTGGAAAATTGGAGTATCTTAAACTATACGATGAACTTTGTTCTGTCCTTTGATTTTTGGATCTTCAATAAATCACTAGCTACTGGCATTTTGAAGTGGAGGAGGAAAATGTAGGGCAGAACTTTATCACGTCATGATGTTATGTACTAGATAGTGTTAGAAAGAATTAGAAAATGATTTTCATATTATATACAAGTTTATAAAATTCAAAACACGTTATGACGTCTTGTTATAATCATCATTTGTACAGTATGATTCCCTGGAAGCGTTGATCCAGAGAGATGCTTTTTGTTTGCATCAAATGTTTCTAATGGAACATTAATGCACTTGAGATCCCACTTGTGCATCTATGGACCAGTCTGCACTGCAAGAATAGAAATGGAAAATGTGCACTGGTTTTTAAAACAATTATGAATGGAGAACCCTTTTAATATTACCCTTATCCGTTCCAAACTCTAGGGTATTTTACAAGATTGCTTCAGGGTTTCTGCAGGTCTTAAAAAGTCTTAATTCATCTTTCCGCAAATGAAGGCCTTATCTTAAATCGGAGCAGAAAGTACAATTCATAGAGTCGTGGCATGGTATTAAATGCTGCTTGCACTGTAAAAAAAATAAATACCTTCCTTAGTATTTTTGTCTTGTTTTCCAAAACAATCATCTGAACACCCTTAAAACAAGATACATTTGCTTACTATATATAGATATACTAGATATCTGTTCTTGTTTTAATCCTGAACTCAAAACAATCCTGAAACAAGACTTCATATTGCTCATCAAGTGAATCAATGCAGATTGATTTAGGAACTTTGAGACATTTGCACTGGAAAACAAGACAAAAATACTGATGAAGAAATTTTTTTTTACCAGTAAAAGTTATTTCCATATTGTAGTGGTTGGGAGTATCGACCAATCTCTTTCTCTGTTGACATTCTATTGGATCAGATTGCTGGACACCAGACAGCCAATCAGCTTCCAAACTGACAGTACACTATGAAACAGCCAGCCAATCAGATTCTTAGATTCTCCGGCACGGGGCGGGATGTGAGCTGTTGGAACTAGCAGTTAGATTGCGCCATAAGGCGTGAAAGAAGCTTGCTGCCAGCAGGTTATCTAACTTTAGTTTATTATCCAACCCTTTACTATATCAACCGCCTCCCTCTCTGAAATAAATATAACTTCATTCCTTTATAGCGTACACCGCTGTCGGCA